GGTTCTTGAGCCTCATCCTCCGGAAATTCTGTTTCTTTGTTATGGGGTGGGGCCACAACATTAGTAACAAAGAAACAATTTCCAGAGGATGAGGCCCAGAAATCAGGATTTTAAAAAGATTCCCAGGTGATTCTAATGTGCAGCCAAGATTGAGAACCACTGCCCTAAGTGTTCAAGTGAAAGGAAGAGTTGCATGTCTCTCACTTTAAATCAAAAGTTAGAAATGATTAAGCTTAATGAGGAAGGCATGTCAAAAGCTGAGACAGGTCGAAAGCTAGGTTTCTTGTGCCAAGTTGTGAATGCAAAAGAAAAGTCCTTGAAGGAAATTGAAAGTGCTACTCCTGTAAAACATGAGTGATAAGAAAATGAAACAGCCTGTTGCTGATAGGGAGAAAGTTGTAGTGGTCTGTATGTAAAAGAACAGACCAGCCACAACATTCTCTTAAGCCAAAGCCTAATCCCTGGGAAGATTCTAAACCTTTTCAATTCTCTGAAGGCAGAGAGAGGTGAGGAAGCTGCAGAAGTTTGAAGCTAGTAGATAATTGGTTTATGGTGTTTAAGGAAAGAAGGTAATCTCCAGGTGGAGCAAGTGCTGATGTATATAGAAGCTGCAGCAAGTTATCCAGAAGCTCTAGTTGCAGCCGTGGGCAAACTACGGCCCGTGGGCCAGATCTGGCCCGTTTGAAATGAATAAAACTAAAAAAAAAAGACCGTACCCTTTTATGTAATGATGTTTACTTTGAATTTATATTAGTTCACACAAACACTCCATCCATGCTTTTGTTCCGGCCCTCCGGTCCAGTTTAAGAACCCATTGTGGCACTTGAGTCAAAAAGTTTGCCCACCCCTGCTCTAGTGGGATAATTAATGAAGGTGGCTACATTGAACAATAAATTTTTTCCCCTAGCCGGGTTGGATCAGTGGTTAGAGCAGCAGCCCAGGGACCCAAGAATCCTGGGTTCAATTCCCCATCAAAGGCACGTACCTCAGCTGCAGGCTCATTCCCCAGCCCCGGTCAGGGCGTGTGTGGAAGGCAATGTGTCTCCCTCACATCGATCTTTATACCTCTCTCTCTCCTTCTCTTCCCCCCTCCCTCTCTCTCTAAACACACACACACACACACACACAGAGTAGATTTTCAATGTAGACTAAACAGCTATCCTTAGATTGAAAGAAGGTACTATCTAAGACTTTCATAGCTGGAGAGGAGAAATCAATGCCTAGCTTCAAAGGACAGGCTGACACTCTTATTAGGGGCTAAAGCAGCTAGTGACTAAGCTGAAGCCAATGCTCATTTACTATTCAGACAATCCTGGGGCCCTTAAGAATTATACAAAATGTGGATGACAGCACGCCTGTTTACAACATGGTTTACTGAATATTTTAAGCCCACTGTTGACCTGCTGCTCAGAAAAAAAAAAAAAAGATTCCTTTCAAAATTTTACTGTTCATTGACAATGCCTCTGGTCACTCAAGAGCTCTGATGAACAAGATTAATACAGTTTTCATGCCTATTAACCTAAATTCATTCTGCAGCACCTGGATTAAGTAGTAATTTTGACTTTCAAGTCTTATTATTTAAGAAATACATTGTGTAAGGCTATAGTTGACACAGTGATTCCTCTGTTGGATCTGGGCAAAGTTAATTAAAAACCTGAAAAGGATTTATCATTCTAGATGCCATTAAGAACATTCATGATTCGTGGGAAGAGCTCAAAATGTCCACATAAACAGGAATTTGGAAGAAGTTGGTTCCAACTCTCATGAATGACTCTGAGGGGTTCAAGGCCTCTATAGGGGAAGTAGCTCCAGATGAGGTGGAAATAGCAAGAGAACTAGTACTAGAAGTGGAGCCTGAAGATGTGACTAAATTACGCAATCTCATGGTAAAACTTTAATGGGTTAGGAGTTACTTCTTGTGGATGAGCTAAGAAAATAGTTTCTTGAGATGGAATCTCCTCCTGGTGAAGAGGCTGGGAAGATTGATGTAATAACAACAGGATTTAGAATATTACATAAACTTATTTGATGAAGTAGTACAGGGTGGAAGAGGATTGATTCCAATTTTGAAAGAAGTTCTGTGGGTAAAATTCTATCAAATGGCATTACATGCTACAGAGAAATTGTTCGTGAAAGGAAGAATCAGTTGATCTGGCAGACTTCATTGTTCTTATTATTCTAAGAAGTTGCCACAGAAACCCCAGCCTTCAACAACCCACCACCATGACCAGTCAGCAGCCA